CTCTCTCTCTCTCTCTCTCTCTCTCTCTCTCTCTCTCTCTCTCTCTCTCTCCGATGCGGACAGTCCGTCGTCACGCAGCAACCTGCGAAGCTGTCACCCCGCTGAACCCTCCTGCACCCGTCAGGTTCGCTCGTGCCCACAGTCCGTCGTGGCCCACGTCAACCCCGCGCATTCGGCGTCAGCTCGTCGGATCGCCCAACTCCGCCTCTGCTCACCTCTTACCTCGCTCGTGTGCCGATCTCACATCGCGCAACCCCGAGCTTCCAGTTTTCTAAGAGAGCAAGTTAATCGCGCAGCCGGAATTTATAGCGTGCGTGCATGCGCGAAGAACACGGAATTACAAGGACGTAGATAGATGGGGGAAAGGGAGTGCCTACGTTTGCATGGCCGGGCCGCGGCTTGGGGGACGTACCCACTCCACGCATCGATCCGAACATGCAACCGCGGCTACTCGATGTAGGCAGGGTGGGGGGAAGAAAGAAACGAGGCGGGAAGAAGAAGAAGCAAGAAACAGAAAGATACAGTTACAAAAGTGTGCGCCAAAAATTACAGTTGCAAAAGGATTAAGGCGCCAATCAATCAAGGTTCCGGCGCAGCAGCAAGAAAGAGCGCGCGAGCATGCAGAGCAGCGCCCTGAAAAGCAGGAATTCCAAAATTCCTAAATTCCTAGCTAGCCTGCCGAAAAGGTCCGAAAAGAAAATTAAAATTCCGAAGGCCGTATGGCTCCGACCAAGATTCGAAAAGAAAATTCAAAAAGAGACACCGAAATTCCCGCGTGATGTTTGCGCACCCAAAAGTTTGACACAACCAAATTGAAAGAAAAGAAGGGAAACGAAAGAAAAGAAGGGAAACAAAAGAAAAGAAGAGACGTCAACGTTTATTGATCGCGCACTCGGCGTGCACTTCGCATCCGACCAAGTTTTGCCCCCTTTTCCCCTGGTATTCCCGAATTGTCCCCAACTGTCATCAGGGGCTCGTGCGAGAACGAAGAAACAAAAAAAGAGCAAGGACACACATGCAATTTTCCATCTACCCATCCAATCGATGTGGGGCCCCGCTCAGCACTTCGCGCCAAAAGTCGCGCATTACAGAAGCTAGTTCGTCACACCATACCAGTGGTAAACACTTCGTGTACATGGCAACCACCCCTCGAGCGGCCCCCTTTCTCCATGCTGGTTATACAGAAGCACTATCTCTGTCTCTCCCATAACACATTTCTCCCAAATCCTCCAAGACCTTTTCCGACTTTACGATTGTCTCCTCTCTTATTAATGACCCATCCCCCAGCACATGCAGCGCAATGCCTCGCAAGCTTCCTTACTATCTCATCTCACACCATCTGTACAACCATCAGCAGCTCAATGTGGAAGGAAGGAGGGAGGGGTGTATTTATTGTGCCCGAAGAACAGAAGGCATGAAGGAGCATGGCATCTGAGGGGAAGGGGAACACTCGAACAAAGGGAAGATGGATCCAACTGGACTAGAGAAGCCCACATAAGGGAAATTATCTGCTTTTAAAGGGGAGGGGGGGGGTTGTGGGGACAGGAGGGAAAATAGTAAATTACTTAAACGTGTGGTGGATGAAGGGGGAAATCCCCAGATGGGGACGGACTATGCTGCGAGTCATAGAACTGCAATTTTGAAGTCCCTGCCGATGGTAAGTTGGAGCTCCAATTAGGGTAGGACCCCACTGCTTGGCGGCACTTGGTGCCAGGAAAACATCCTCCAGCCCAGAATTGTAGCCGATGGGAATGGGCAAGCGAAAAGGGATTCCACTGCCACAGCAATTTTCGGCACTTCCCGAGGTTTATGTTACCCGATCAGGAAGACTTGGCCTTTTCGGGCAAGTTTGCCTCCGCTTTTTCAGCACACCAACTAATCCCCGTGCTTCCTTTCCACAAGGGATGGGTGAATCTAGAGGGTGCGTCACGGTTTGCCAAGCTCTAGAGGTAGGCAAGCACACCCTCTAGATTTGCCCAATGCATCCCGTGCGGAAAGGAAGCATGGGGATTGCTGGTGTGCTGAAAAAGCGGAGGTACCGTAGGCAGAGTGGAAACAAAAATGCTTGCGTTTGCCGCCAGCAGTGGAGTCCCAAAACATATCTTCCAAAGGCTTGCCACCATCCAGTTGGGTCCTACCCTTCGGATGAACCGACGAAATGTGTCACAGTTTTTACTGAACCTGACCTCAATAACGACCATACTCCTGTCCTTGACAAATTTAAGAAAACTTAGGTCTTGGTCTGACCATGGTCTCAGTCAGCCAACTCGGAAAAAGATGGTAGTCTGACATTTTTCTAGTGGATTTAACTTTCCCAGGGTGACAATGTGCTTACTACGAGTTACTAGATCAGCACATGAATTTCCAGACTTGTTTCCTCCCTCGGCGTCCACAATGTTTGCTCTACCGTAACAATGGTTTGCAATGGTCTTAAGTTAACAGTTGAGGATAATGCATATTAAGAGTTGTTTTCAAGGAAGGAGCATCTCCGGAAAACTTCTGCAGTTGCACTTGTTGTTGTTCTCAAGCTACCTTTCGCAGCTGCGGCTGTTTTCGAGGAAGAAGAAAACTATTCTGTATCTGTTTTGCCAATTAGAAGTCCCCAAGTGCCATCTTCCAGAGTTCAAAGAGAGTTCAAAGAGAGTTCAAAGAGAGCTCAAAGAGTGTTCAGAGAGTGTTGGGAGAGTGTTCAAAGAGAGTTCAAAGAGAGTTCAGAGAGGGTTTGCAGTTGATAACCCTCAAGTTCCTCTTGGAAAGCTGTTTCTTGACGTCCTTGAAGTTCTTGAAGACTTTGAAGTTAATGGTTTCTTGCCCCAATCTCATGACATTGTGTTTTGAGGGCTGTAATCAGCTAGATTCTCTAGTTTATTTTTTTTTATTATTAATTTTTGATTGTGGCCAAACAAGGCTGGAGAGGGTGATTACAGATTATGGATTATGAAGACTCAGGATTGTGATAAATGCAGTTAATGGACGCGGAACAAGGTTTTCAACTTTTCATCAACAAAAAAGATGAAAGAAAAAAACAAAACAAAAAAGAAAAGAAAAGAAAAAAAAGGGTATTTTAAATCACAAGTACACGCCCCCAGC